GCCATGTTTGGAGGAAGAAGAAGGATGAGTACAACTGCAAGAACACCATCCCAACCGTGAAGCATGGAGCTGGAAACATCATTCTTTGGGGATGCTTTTCTGCAAAGGGGACAGGACGACTGCACCGTATTGAGGGGAGGATGGATGGGGCCATGTATCGCGAGATCTTGGCCAACAACCTCCTTCCCTCAGTAAGAGCATTGAAGATGGGTCGTGGCTGGGTCTTCCAGCAAGACAACGAATCGAAACACACAGCCAGGGCAACTAAGGAGTGGCTCCGTAAGAAGCATCTCAAGGTCCTGGAGTGGCCTAGCCAGTCTCCAGACCTGAACCCAATAGAAAATCTTTGGAGGGAGCTGAAAGTCTGTATTGCCCAGCGACAGACCCGAAACCTGAAGGATCTGGAGAAGGTCTGTATGGAGGAGTGGGCCAAAATCCCTGCTGCAGTGTGTGCAAACCTGGTCAAGACCTACAGGAAACGTATGATCTCTGTAATTGCAAACAAAGGTTTCTGTACCAAATATTAAGTTCTGCTTTTCTGATGTATCAAATACTTATGTCATGCAATAAAATGCAAATGAATTACTTAAAAATCATACGATGTGATTTTCTGGATTTTTGTTTTAGATTCCGCCTCTCACAGTTGAAGTGTACCTATGATAAAAATTACAGACCTCTACATGCTTTGTAAGTAGGAAAACCTGCAAAATCGGCAGTGTATCAAATACTTGTTCTCCCCACTGTATGTGCTGTCAGTGTGACTGTAGTCAGACTATGGAACTGGCTCTGCACTCTTCCAGATGTCTCCATCCATCACTCTACTCCAGTCTATGTGGGGAGGAGAGCCGGGGAGATGCATACATCTATACATCGAAGTGAACAAGCTGATTCAATTGGGTTTATTTGCATGGTTATTATTTATTCGCAGAGCCAGTTCTAAGTAAAGACAACCGCAAACTCCATATATCTTTCTCACTCTGGGAAGGTCAGAGTATCGCTTCCTTGCGTTAGATTAACTAGTCTTGATTCCTGCGTTCAGAGAGATTGGAATACCGGAGGTGTTAAGGGTTTCTCACGTGCATTGATCCTCTCTGAAACAAAGTAAGTAATGGGCCCCCCTGGAACCGGCAAGGACTTTTCCCTTCAATGTCAACCCTCATGCTCAATCACCTCCTCCCACTAATCCCATCCCAGAAATCCCAGGATTTGTCGATCTATCACTCCTAATTGACACTAAATGATCTGTCAGTTTATTGATGAACCTTTGAAGCCGGGTTGTCACAATATATTTTATCCCTAACAACTTTTTCCAGACAGTTTTACCATGTCTATCGCTTCAGCCTACATGAGTCTTAATCAAGGGGCCTGTAATGTGTCTTAAGCGTCGCCAGCCCCACCCCCGGCGCCAGGCACACAGGACAGGACACAGTCCAAGGGCAGCAAGGTGGGGTCCCTCAGCCCCTGCCCTCTCTGATCTCTCTGACCATCAGGGCAGACTCCAGAGTTGATCACGTTGCTTCTGTTGCTATTGTTGTCGGATAGACAGGGTGGGTTATGGTGGGTTGGACTGAGGTATTTTTTTTATTTGTCTCAACAAAAAGATCAACGAAGATTGTATAAATAAATTGTACATTTTACATTTTAGTCATTTAGCAGACGCTCTTATCCAGAGCGACTTACAGTTAGTGAGTGCATACATGTTTTTGTTTTTTTCATAAACAAAGGCTAAATAAACAAATGCATAATACAGCAGAGATCAGGTCCCACAGCAGTGAAGTGTCCCTAGCGTAGTTGGTTGTGGTGTAGACTAGAGGGTGGATGAGGACCAAGTGTGAAGCTCTGCTGAGTCTGTTTCCGCTCCCCTCCAGGCGAGGCCCTAAGGCAAGGGGGTCCAGGGGGTTGGCTCGGGGGCATGTCTGCTTTGTTTCTGCCTCCCCTGAGCTCTGTCTGGACCCTGGCCAGTGTCTGCCATCTACACCACTGGTCCCCTGCTCCTCGACGGAGGAGCCCTTAACACTCCTATGGCCCTGTGGTGGCTTCAACCCCTATTTTAGAGAGGGGAGCCTCCAGAGATTAGTGAATGGATTATTCATAAAGTACAATTTACAAACATACATAATGTCATTTAATTGTCTTATTCAGGTTATTGATACACACTAATAAGGAATAATAAGACATATTTGTAGGGCAACATTCTCTTGCCATAAATAGCTATTTTCAGTCCAGAGAAAATTACAGTATGTGTTTTCTTCAAAACCAGTAGGGGGCACTCCTCAACCAATAGAACCTATTTTAAAAAAAAAGTTGACTTCATAGCCAAAAATCCACAGACTGTCTTGATCTAAAATGTAAAGATTCTGAAAATAGCCAGCAGGAGAGGAACAACAGAGAATACATTTTACATTTACATTTTAGTCATTTAGTAGACACTCTTATCCAGAGCGACTTACAGTTAGTGAGTGCATACATTATTTTTTTCTTTCCCCCCGTGGGAATCGAACCCACAACCCTGGCATTGCAAACGCCATGCTCTACCAACTGAGCTACATCCCTGCCGGCCATTCCCTCCCCTACCCGACGCTGGGCCAATTGTGCGCCGCCCCATGGGTCTCCCGGTCGCGACCGGCTACGACAGAGCCTGGATTCGAACCAGGATCTCTAGTGGCACAGCTTAGACCACTGCGCCACTCGGGAGGTACAACCTAGGACAGGGATGGGCAACTTTGATGGGGGTTGGGGACACAAAAAATCTGAACTCATCATGAGGGGCCGCAGTGGCTCGCGGGGCTGCGTACCCACATCTACAGTGAGGGAAAAAAGTATTTGATCCCCTGCTGATTTTGTACGTTTGCCCACTGACAAAGAAATGATCAGTCTATAATTTTAATGGTAGGTTTATTTGAACAGTGAGAGACAGAATAACAACAAATAAATCCAGAAAAACGCATGTCAAAAATGTTATAAATTGATTTGCATTTTAATGAGGGGAATAAGTATTTGACCCCTCTGCAAAACATTACTTAGTACTTGGTGGCAAAACCCTTGTTGGCAATCACAGAGGTCAGACGTTTCTTGTAGTTGGCCACCAGGTTTGCACACATCTCAGGAGGGATTTTGTCCCACTCCTCTTTGCAGATCTTCTCCAAGTCATTAAGGTTTCGAGGCTGACGTTTGGAACTCGAACCTTCAGCTCCCTCCACAGATTTTCTATGGGATTAAGGTCTGGAGACTGGCTAGGCCACTCCAGGAACTTAATGTGCTTCTTCTTGAGCCACTCCTTTGTTGCCTTGGCTGTGTGTTTTGGATCATTGTCATGCTGGAATACCCATCCATGACCCATTTTCAATGCCCTGGCTGAGGGAAGGAGGTTCTCACCCAAGATTTGACGGTACATGGCTCCGTCCATCGTCCCTTTAATGCGGTGAAGTTGTGCTGTCCCCTTAGCAGAAAAACACCCACAAAGCATAATGGTTCCACCTCCATGTTTGACGTTGGGGATGGTGTTCTTGGGGTCATAGGCAGCATTCCTCCTCCTCCAAACACGGCGAGTTGAGTTGATGCCAAAGAGCTCCATTTTGGTCTCATCTGACCACAACACTTTCACCCAGTTCTCCTCTGAATCATTCAGATGTTCATTGGCAAACTTCAGACGTATATGTGCTTTCTTGAGCAGGGGGACCTTGCAGGCGCTGCAGGATTTCAGTCCTTCACGGCGTAGTGTGTTACCAATTGTTTTCTTGGTGACTATGGTCCCAGCTGCCTTGAGATCATTGACAAGATCCTCCCGTGTAGTTCTGGGCTGATTCCTCACCATTCTCATGATCATTGCAACTCCACGAGGTGAGATCTTGCATGGAGCCCCAGGCCGAGAGAGATTGACAGTTCTTTTGTGTTTCTTCCATTTGCGAATAATCGCACCAACTGTTGGCACCTTCTCACCAAGCTGCTTGGCGATGGTCTTGTAGCCCATTCCAGCCTTGTGTAGGTCTACAATATTGTCCCTGACATCCTTGGAGATCTCTTTGGTCTTGGCCACGGTGGAGAGTTTGGAATCTGATTGATTTATTGCTTCTGTGGACAGGTGTCTTTTATACAGGTAACAAGCTGAGATTAGGAGCACTCCCTTTAAGAGTGTGCTCCTAATCTCAGCTCATTACCTGTATAAAAGACACCTGGGAGCCAGAAATCTTTCTGATTGAGAGGTGGTCAAATACTTATTTCCCTCATTAAAATGCTAATCAATTTATAACATTTTTGACATGTGTTTTTCTGGATTTTTGTTGTTGTTATTCTGTCTCTCACTGTTCAAATAAACCTACCATTAAAATTATAGACTGATCATTTCTTTGTCAGTGGGCAAACGTACAATATCAGCAGGGGATCAAATACTTTTTTCCCTCACTGTATACTTACACATGCAGTTAGAGCTCTAGCCTTTTAGGAGCCCTAAGTGAAATTTGATTTGCATTCCTGATAATACACTGGTGTCCCCCGTGGAACGGCTCGTACATAAAGCATCCTCCATTCTGGCTGCGAAGGCATCATTTTCCACCTTAACTAGCCTTGACTGAACGCGGTGTGAACTATCCGAAGTTATCTGAAAATTGTTTTATTAAGACAGTACTCATATTTTCCATGTTTCCATAAAGTTGTGCCTTTGCAGCCTGAATCTGCCTAGGCTGATTTTTGTTTAAATGTTTTATTTTTGGGAAATTGATCCGCGGGCCTACGAAAGAGGGGCTGCCAGTTGCCCATCCCTCACCTAGGCCTTAGGAGGCTCAAATCTGACAGAGCAACTAGCCTACATCAGAAACCATTAGTGCTTTAAAGATTAATCTTTCAAATAGAAATAGAACAACTGTTCAATAAGAGAATTGGTCATTGGTTTGTCTGTTAAATTTTAATAGATTTTAGTCATTTTATTTATGTGGCACAAAAGTATTTTGTCTGTGTTCCTTTGTTGCATAGTCTATCAACTATGTTCACTTTTCGTTCCTTAGGTCTGGAAGAAGACCTGACATGGTGGAGGACGTGGAAGAGTAAGTTCACATAGTCTCGTCTTTTCACTCTGAATTATTTCCCTCAGTTGTTGATTAAATGAAATAACTATTTTGTTTAAAAAATACAGGAATTGAAATTGGGCCAATTTAAATGTTTGTTTGTGCCCGATGCTCTGATTTGGAAATTGCTGTACTTGGTTGCAACTAATCCTCGCCTTCCAAGAACAATCACTTGACATGATTAAAAGCCAGTGTGACTGAGTTGTCATCACTTTTATTGTTGTTGGGAGCCAAGTTAGCCTGTTATTTTAGTTCTTCCATGTTGCCAACTTTCATATTATTTATTGAATAGACAGTAGTGAGATGGAAGGAGACTAGAGGACATGGTGTGTTTTACTCATCACAGCTGGAGCCCCATGCTTAAATAGCAGTGTTCAAATCAAATCAAATCAAATTTTATTGGTCACATGCGCCGAATACAACAGGTGCAGACATTACAGTGAAATGCTTACTTACAGCCCTTAACCAACAGTGCATTTATTTTAAAACAAAAAAGTAAGAATAAACACAACAACAAAAAAGTGTTGAGAAAAAAAAGAGCAGAAGTAAATAAAGTGACAGTAGGGAGGCTATATATACAGTAAAATAAGTGACAGTAGGGAGGCTATATATACAGGGGGGTACCGTTGCATAGTCAATGTGCGGGGGCACCGCTAGTTGAGGTGTTGAGGTAATTTGTACATGTGGGTAGAGTTAAAGTGACTATGCATAAATACTTAACAGAGTAGCAGCAGCGTAAAAGGATGGGGTGGGGGGGCAGTGCAATAGTCCGGGTAGCCATTGATTAGCTGTTCAGGAGTCTTATGGCTTGGGGTTAGAAGCTGTTGAGAAGTCTTTTGGACTAGACTTGGCACTCCGGTACCGCTTGCCGTGCGGTAGCAGAGAGAACAGTCTATGACTAGGGTGGCTGGAGTCTTTGACAATTTTGAGGGCCTTCCTCTGACACCGCCTGGTATAGAGGTCCTGGATGGCAGGGAGCTTTGCCCCAGTGATGTACTGGGCCGTACGCACTACCCTCTGTAGTGCCTTGCGGTCAGAGGCCAAGCAGTTGCCATACCAGGCGGTGATGCAACCAGTCAGGATGCTCTCGATGGTGCAGCTGTAGAATTTTTTGAGGATCTGAGGACCCATGCCAAATCTTTTTAGTCTCCTGAAACACAGGCAGCGCTACAAAATAGTCCCTTGATCTATGCTCTTTTCACCAACAGCCCATCTCAGTTCCATTTAAATGTATTTACTGCCTCCGTTGTGTTTTTGATTCATTCTTAGAGGGATACTGTTGAGTTCACTGAAGCCCTGGGCTGCTCACAGAGACAGTCAGGCAGGCAGTCCCACTGATGCTGCTGTGTCTGTGGAGCCTTTCGGCAGTGTATTGATGCTGCTGTATTGTAGAAACAGTCCCAGTCAGCCTGTAGCAGACAGACAGAGGCAGAGCAAGCCTCCTATCAGGCTGATCTAGAACCTCACTCAGCCCACAGAAACAGGCCCATCATCAAAGCACAACAGCACAGTCTAAGTCTGGCTCCCTGTGATGACCTCACTGCTGAAAGCCTTTCAATAATTCATACTCTTCCACTTCCTGTTTCTGCAGCCGACGCCTTCGACCACAAACCCCCCAGGGCTCGGATGATGAAGGAGGTGAGAGCACCCTTGTATCCCAGTCCCACGTCTCCTCTGGCGGGCAGAGCCAAGTCCTCCAGTCCCTCCACAGCACATTCATCCAAAATAGAGCAGATAAGCAGCCTTTCGGCTCATCCCTTTCTCTGACACTCCCAACATATTTATTCTCAGTGCTAGTGAGGAGTCATCTGTAGCAACTCTGCTTCTGACCACCTACTGTGAGACACCCATAACTAACCAGAGCACACAATTGTTTATAGATGAAAGTGAAAGGTGAAAATGTTCATTTGGTAAGTTTAGAGAACTGTAGCTGATCACTGGTTATCCCCTCATTCAATCACATCACATCACACACCGTTCATAACCGACCTCAAATACAGTATTCACTAAATTAATTATCCTATTCATTGGCTGAAGTGTGGCAGGATTTAAGTGGCTCTTCCCTTTGAGCGTTTCACACACACACACACACACACACACATCTACATGCCGGGGCAGGTGCTGCAGAGCGTTGAGCCAGCAGGAACACTCAACGCTAGCCTCTTTGACTCGGTCACCTCAGGGCCTGGCACGCCGCATCACAAACAATGTCAGAGTAGAGGGAGGACATTTCAACAAAGCACAGCCTGGGATAATTGTTCCATTTTTCTGAGCAAAGCACCAGGGGAAATAAGGATGAAATTGCCTTAGCAAAGATAGGAGTGGTGAGCCCCTGATTATTTAAGGAGTTATATTATATACATGCCAATGACAATGGCTGGGCTGGCTGGCGTTGTATAAGGACATATTCTTTGAGGTATTAAGCTGACATATTGATGAGGACCAGAAGCACTGTGTCTGCAGCTGTAGTTACTACTGCCATACTTGATGAAACACCTACCCACCATTGTAGCCCTCTTCTGTGGATTTATATGCTTAGAATCCTAATCAAAGTCTATTTATACGTTTCATCTTCTAGATGTTGTACGTTTAGATGTTATGAACTTCATTACTGGAATTAGATTTACAAAATAATGTAAACATTGTACATCTTCTTTTAGTTTTATAGCCACTTTGTTTTTACAAAGTCTTTTTAATTTTTCATTGTTCTTCTGTTTTGTTTTTACGATTATAACAAATGGTAATAAACGTACATCCTGTTTTTGACAATGCTTTTAAGTTGCTCACAATATAACACACACACAGTCATAATCACATTCTTACACACACACTAGCTGAAAGGGTCAGTTGTGTGGAGACCCCAGTGGTACAGTTCTTACCCAGCAAATGCAGCTGGAAAGATTATTCCTCAGTGGAGGGAGACCTCTTAATACAGTGCCGGCGGCTGAGGCAGTGGAAATTGCAGTGCTGAGGGTTAGTGAGATAGCCCCTCCGATCTTGATTGTGTCCCCTACCCTATCCCTTATGTCCAATGGCTAGAAGCAGAGAGAGAGAGAGAGGGCTAGCCCTTTCCCCCCTCTCCCCCTTGGCTGGCCTTCAGTCCCCTGCCAGTCACATTACAAAGAACTCCCATTACAAACACACTAATCTGTTCTCAATCTGTTTCTTCTCTCTCTCTCTCTCTCTCTCTCTCTCTCTCTCTCTCTCTCTCTCTCTCTCTCTCTCTCTCTCTCTCTCTCTCTCTCTCTCTCTCTCTCTCTCTCTTTCTCTTTCTCTTTCTCTTTCTCTCTCTCTTTTTCTCTCTCTGTCAGTGATCTGCTGAATATTGTCCCATAAGCTTTTCAAATGTAGTCTGTGCCTAGGTAATCATCCCATAGCCTCCCTGCTTAGATTATAGCAGCCGTGCCTGGTGATGTGTGGAGGTGTCCCCAAAGTCGCTGACTGCGGCATGCCTGCTGGGAGTATGTCTACATTCACAGCAAATTATCCCCTTTTGATATTTACATGCTTCAGTGAGGAAACTCGCCATGACCGTGTAATAAGGATACGCTTTGCCCAGTCGCCGCTAGACAAAGCAACCTTGATAGATGTCCAGGCTGGTATGGGGAAGGGAGGAAATGTATCAGGTAATGTGTGCCAGCAGTGCTGGGAACAGACAGCTCCTTCTGATGGAGTTGTCCTTTCCTTCAGAAAAACACCAGCTTGTTTACAGCTCCTATTAATACCCTCTTGACCTCCAGTAATAGGTTGAATTAGAAGCTCATTTTAAAATGTTGTAAACTTTTTCAGTTAATAATGGAGTTTGGGTAACAGCCAGCGTCATAACACGTTATGACACGACCATAAACATGTCATAATATGTCATAACAGCTGACATAATTTGTCATAACCTATTATAATATAGTCATAACACTGTCATGACACATATATTTAGACCTGTTTTGACATATATTGCTTTATTTTATGGTTGGTTTTCTGACACTTATGTAAGAGTGTAAAAGCCCACAAAAGTTACAACGGTAGTTATTTTATGGCTGGTTATGACACCTACATAAGAGTGTCAAAACCTATCACACAAGGCAAAACATTCCATTACACCATAGCCTTTGTGTCAACAATATGTTTATGTTATAAGTCGCTCTGGATAAGAGCGTCTGCTAAATGACGTAAATGTAAATGTAAAAAAAAATTTATTGACCATATTCAATTATCATTGTAATTGTGCACATATTGATGTCAAACATGCACCTGCCCCAATGCTCTGTTACTGATGACTGGGATGAATGCAGGAGCAGATTTCAGGAGCAGGACAAGACACCCTCTTTTTGACTGATGACTGATATAAGAGCATGTACGTGATGGGCCTATCTGGCTTATATGATTATGATGGTCATAATGCTTCTTGACAGTGTCATAAAGTGTATTTTCTTAGTCAAAGTAAAGTGACAAAGGATGGTCATAATGCTTCTTGATAGTGTCATAAAACTTATTTTCTACAAGTCATTTGAAATATGATGAAAAAAACATGACTAAAGAATTAAATACAACAATAACAAAGGATTTAAGAAATAAACTTTCAAACGAAAGCAAACTTCTTGACAGGGAAAAAACAAATTTGAAAATACTCTTATGTAGGTGTCATAACCAGCCATAAAATAACGCAATATATGTAACAACAGGTGTAGATATATGGGTCATGACTGTGTTATGACCGTATTATGACAGGTTATGACAAGTTAGGTCAGCTGTTATGACATTCTGACATGGTTAGGACTGTGTCATAACGTGTTATGACACTGGGTGTCAAGTAAAGTGCTACCAGAGTTTGCATATAGAGAACCTACCCCTCGCTGGTTCACGTTGAACTCTCGTAGAATAGTGTTGTTAGTGCATTATTGGCCGAGATGGAGTGGGAAACAACCCAGGAAGCTATTTGCAAAGAGCTGGACAGCGAGGCTTTTTGATGTCATTGCGCTAAGACCATTAAATTTGATTGGGTGTCCGGGGGGGACGGATTCTGCTGAACGCTGTGCTTTGTAAATGAGAGGACAAAGTGTCACCGGGGCCTCATGAATATGAAATACCCGCGCATGCATTTATTTGGATATCAGAAACACAGATGAATCTTGTCAGCAGCTAAACGAGTGTGGCATTTTAAATTTGGTTTAATTAAAAAAGAGAACGGAATGAGCTATCAACTGATGATGATGTTTGTTATCTGTGCAAAGTTGCTGGGATTTGACCAGGTTATTTTCTGTTTCCTTCAACTGAAGAATCCTTTAATAACCTTAATCATTTAGCTCATTCTATGAACATAAATAACTTCCTTTTTGAGTATTTTTATTTTGTCTTTGCTGAAATATTTGCTATTTGCTTAACCGTAATGAGAATAGTAGAGACTAACCCTCTGAGAACATCTTTATTTTGCAACCACCAGTGTATTTTCTGAGAAGTATTTTGAAGGTATAGTGACACAGATCTACAGATATGTCCTCCAATCAGATCGTGCCTCCCATCTCCTGGCCTCTATCTTGCTCCTCTATTGACTTTCCCCTCAGGGTGCAGCGCTGTGTTCAGAGATTACTGACATTCCTGCTCTCGCTCTCCCTCCCACTCCCCTGCTCTCTCCCAGCCTCTCCACTGACACCTAGCACACTGTCTGTCTGGAGGAAGTCAGAAGGAAATGTAGCTGCACTTTTCAATTGCCTTCAACCAAAACCAGTATCGAAAAAAGAAGCAAAACAACAGAAAATCAGACCTCCTCTGAGTGCACGTGGGTTTTTTGCTCATTTAGAGTTGTTACATGGAAACAAGGATTAGATAGATTTCTGTGACTTTGATGATGACAGGCAAAGCTCTTAATTGCAAAGTTTACACAGGTATGAATTTATCGTTTTCAGTTGTGTAAGTAGGGGAGACCTACCTTCCCTCAAAGATGATGTAATATACTTGTAGTTCATCTATTTCATATGTTGTCATGTTTGTTTCTAACATGGCATAATGAATGTATTAATTTCATATGAATTATACAGGTACATTTAAGTGTCTTCAACATTTCCTCACAGTCTGTCTGTCTGACTCCCCCCTCCCTTCTCCCACTCTAACAAAAGTCCATCTGAAATGCTGTAAAAGTTCGCACTGTCCTTCTTGGGAGCGGAGCCATCCTCTGTCCTGTTGCGTTTTGCCAATTAAAGTGAGTTCCCACTGTTTGAGCAGCGGGCTGGCGGCTCCTGGCACCGCAGCCCCTGCCAGGCCGCACCGTGACTTCCGACCCCACACAGATGGGCCCGACAGCAAATACTCTTGCAAAAGGCTGGATGCCGCCCCGGTCCGAGTGGCAGAGTGGTCACGGAGGTCGGCCTGCCGGCCACCACGGGTCCTGGGGGTGGGCGGCACTGACAGGGCCCAAATGCTGGGGTAGCGGGGGGTGCTTTCCGGGGAGCCCCTGGCCAGCGCCCCTCTCGCAGCAGGAAGAGCTGCTGCCTGGCCTCCTGAATATTCATGGCCGCCTGGCTATTGTGACAGGGCAGCTCTACGGAGGATGTAGGGAGAGAGAGGGAGAGGGAGGGGATGAATCAGGTGCCAATTTACTCTCAGGGACACTCACACATACACATACACATACACACACACAAACACACACAAACTATCATACCAAACACAAAGCAGACTGTATCTTTGAAATGAGTGTTTCTGTAATATATGTCCAGTTTTTAATGTGATTGTCCACTATTGCATCTCAGTTAACACTTTAGATGTAGAGATTGAGTGACTAAATAATGGAGAGGGTGACATTGATGAGATATTGATATGTCCTGGATGTATGTTGTGTTTTAGATATACCAGTGATCCCAGACCTTGAGGAAGTACAAGAGGAAGACCTTACCATGCAAGTTGCTGCTCCTCCAAGGTACTGTAAACAGCATCACACTCCCCTTTAGTTGACCCCAGTTACTCTAACTGGCATCCCATCACTCCATTTTCAGAGTTGATGAAGTGTATCCTTTTGGTCTGTCTTGTGAATACAGACATGCCTGCTCACCCTCACACACACTGTCTCTGGCTGCATAACTGTTCATGTCTCTGAAGTGACCTAATAGGACCTGACAGCTGAGTTGAGATACCTCTGGAGGGTTACAGACACAGCCCATCCTCAGAGCCATGTACATTACCTGGCCTACATTTTAACATCAAGGAGAGTTAAAGATAATAATACACCGGTCTTAGATGGTGACTTGACTGTTACCTTGCCTCCTCTCATCATGGTATTGAAGGTATCGTCTTGGCATATTGGGCCGTTATGCAAAATAACAGTTGAGGTGTGATTTATGCACGGCTGTTAGCGGGGCCCTTACTAACGGGGCCTTTTGATTTACAGGGCGGTGAGAGACACGCCGACATGTATCCGCTATGTAGTGCGGCTATGACAGCGGCGGGGGGTTATTAGGCTGGGGCCCGCTCTCTGTGTGAGATAATATCCACATTGAACTTCTTGAGGGGGCAATGTAGCGTGTAATGTGCAGTAAGTAGGACTGGCATGCACTGCTAGGTCCTGGTCACTTTCAGAGCCCTCCTCTTAATTCCGACTACAGATAAGCAGCTGGGTTTCAATTTGAGGCGGTTACCACTTGGAGCCCATCTCCTGATCTCTCTGTTCTTTAATGAACTCTCCGTGCCCTGTGAGCACTACCCTAAACTTCTGAGAAGCTATCTGTCTCACAGAGTGATACTTGCAAGTTGTACTGTACTATTATACAGTTTGTCGATTGGTCTGGTGATATCTAACTGATGCAGGTATTGACTACTGTATTTGAATAGACAGCCTCTAATCAGGCTAATGAGGAAAAGCATGTCAACATTTAGTATAGCAAATCTACTATGGGATTTTTGTTTACTTAGTGTTTGTCCTTCTCCCCAGCATCCAGGTGAACCGGGTAATGACATACAGAGATCTGGACAACGACCTCATGAAGTACTCTGCCTTCCAGACCCTGGTAAGACAACTCATATGGGCCCCACACACACAGCCAGGTTTCAACTGCTCTTTTTTTTTTTTTGTAATAGATTACCTAGCCTCCCTTTTAAGGAGGTCATTTTAGGATACATCCAATATCAATCCCCTCTGTCTGAGGAGTGTGTTTCTGCAAGCTCAGGGTGTTCTCATAAGGTATCTGCCTCTCCCTAGGATGGGGAGATTGACTTGAAGATCCTCACCAAGGTTTTAGCTCCGGAGCAGGAGGTGAGGGAGGTGAGTGAGTTTTTCGTAAATATAGCTGCTGTGTTCCCTGTGAGGGGGTGTCCAGCTGTTTCTGAAGCACCAGGGGAGGTCGCCTCCCAGCCTCCCAGCTAATCAAGATTTATGATGTGTGCATTAACACGCTGTACTATCGTTCTCTCACCTTCCCTGGGATGTTCGCTCTGTGTTGCTCTCCTTCTCCCCCTCAATTATTTTCCTCTATTTCTTCTTTCTCTCTCTTCTTCTACATCTGCTCTTCCTCCCTCTTTTCCCCTCTTATCGCTCTCTCTCTCTCTCTCTCTCTCTCTCTCTCAGGAGGACGTGGGTTGGGACTGGGATCATCTGTTTACAGAGGTGTCCTCAGAGCTGCTGACGGAATGGGATCAAGGAGAGAAGGAGGAGCAGGTTCCGCTGTCTGTGTTATGATGACGAGCCTCCCTAGGATGGGATAGGGTGGACCAGGACACCCCCTCTGGGACCTGGGTGGGTGCATGTCAATGCTCCGTCGAAACATAGGGACCATCAAATATACGTAGCTTGCCTCATATTGTTGTTCATATTCCAAATTCAGTGCAAAATGTATTTATTTTTTCTAATAAATTTAAACAAACCAAATGTTTTGGTATATTTATTGTGAAATGAATTGCTGTAATTTTTATAGTAGGTTGCAAATTAATTATCTCCTCTAAGACATAGTAAGACATAGAAGTTTAACGACGTGTGTGGTTTTTCACTGCAGTGCCATCTGTTTGAATCTACCAAAACTGCTAAAAGACAACTCACTTTTGTTTAAAAATGCTGAATGCCTAAATTATCTGATACAGATCAAAATGCCCTCTCGTCTTCCGCCTGCATTATCTACCCCCCTACAACCTCAGTCAGATACAAGTCCAAGGTTGATAATCACCTAAGCTGAAATCCACTTCATTGTGGTCAAATTAACATTCTTCATTAAAGCCCACAACCTTATTGTTATTGACTCTGCCATTGACTTTATCTTCCAGCTCTTCGACAAATGCGGCCCCCTTCTTCACTATTATCTCAAATGCATTTAACACACTTCCTATTTACACCTGGGGGATTAGCATACATTATATAAGGAAGAAATCTTCCTCCTTGGCAGATGGCTGGAGGTGTCCAGGTACATGCTCTCTCCAAACTTACATAACAACCATGCATCAAACCCAAACAACAGGGCCTTAGGAGAGGCGGTAATACTATATATGCCTATGGGCATGAACATGAGTCCAATTCAACATAATACAGATTATTGGTAGCGAAGAAGCCATCAGTGGAGTATGTCCTCTGCTCTTTACCTTTTTATATGTAAAGATGGAATCATTTATAGCTAATATCCTCTCACTGTCATAGTTTGCACACAAATGTTTAGTATGTATCAGTGTGTGTTTATGCCTTATCTCCACTTAGATTAGTCTTTGGTTCATGTGTGTGAATAAAGACGCAGGCCTCCAAAGCCACACGGAGGCTATTGGGAAAACAGGTTTAACATTTACAGACTATGATTAGGTTTATTTCTCCCTGAAGCAGAGCGAGGTCTCGTGACAGTTCGGGATACACGCCAACGGCCTGGAGGACACACAATCTACGCAGCTCACAGCTCAATTATCTCCAGTCACACATAGATAACCATTCAGCCAGTCATTTGGTAGGCCTCAAATCAGTCTTCATGGGTATTACAGATGGAGGGGATGTTCAGAATGACTGTAACGAGTGGTCAGCCTTCCTCCCTCTTCCATCCCTCTCTTCTATCTCGCTCTCTCTTTCCCTCACTCTCTCTCTCTCCAACACTTACACACACTTACAGTCTCTCCACAATTGGCTTATTTAGCCAGCCTTAATGAATTCTGCCCATATGCCCCGAGCAGCTGCCGCGTTGCCCCTTCCTCCCACCCCCGCGGAGCTGCGAAGTGCCCAGCCATGTAGAGACAACCTCTAGCTGTCTCTCTGGAGATGGCCGCGCCTGCCAGTCCTCTGCTGGCGCCGGGCCGCTGGCGTTTGAGGTGGACGGCTTACGGGCGGAGGACCCAGATTAGGGCGCAGTGATCACAGGTTGTGGCCTGTCTCAGACGATTGGCCGGAACACCAGTGGATCATAGTGGGGATTAGAGAGGGAGAGGAGACACTGTTTGGCATGTGCCTGCATTCAGCTCCTCAAAGTGACCTCTCTCTGTCCCTCATCCTCTCCTCTTTCCGCTCTCGTGCTCCCCCTCCCTCTCTCTTTCTCTCCATCTCTCTTCCGCTCTCTTATATCCTGATGCTGCAGCAAGGCTCAGAATGACCTCTCAGTAGCTGGGCGCACTGAATTTAATCACGTCAAACCAACTGTAACACATACGTTATTTCTACGAAGAGAGATGGCCCTTGCTCCTAGAGCTCCTCACAGTGTAGATGTATTTAGCTACAGATGAACACTGTGTCACGGAGAGGTGAGCAGAGACTTCTTTGTGTGCCTCTGATCGAACGTAGGGAGCTATTTTAGGAGGATTAGGTCTCATTTGGGTTGAGGTCATCTTTTGGTAACAGTGATTTATTTTGTAGTGGGATCCTCTGACCTCATTAGTACAGAAAAAAATACAGTATTTAATGTGGAATATGATATCCTTATTCAGCTGAGTGGAATAAATAACTGTTTATTTTTTTATTTTTTGGGGGGGGGGGGGTAAATAAAGAACTGTTAGTTTGAACTCACTGTCAGGATCCCATATAAAATGTAAATATGCATCAGTTGTTATGTAAAAGTGACGTTCTCATCCGGTATTTATTTAGTAGACTTGCTTCTCATGTGAATTATTACTGGTTATTTTTTATGGACGTTTTCTCATATTTGAAGTCCATCTAGAACCTTGAGAGTCCAATCTGGGCCAGCGGACTAGGACCAGTTCTCAGGCCGCTGAGTTTACTGCGTCCTTTATATGGGTTATTATTGGATCCCTGTGTGGAAATGACTTTTCAGAAACAAACGGGGGAAGTAATACCATTTTAATAAAACCGGACCAAGGCCTCCTAAAAAATGTATTTTCCTGCTCTGGGTTGATGGGCTTGTCTTAATGTATTTTGATACAGGGCGCTAATTGGAAGAAGGAATAGAGGTAATAGGCTTCCAACTCCCCCTAATATGCTGTGGTGTTGACTGAAGTTTATACATCTTATCTGGTCTCAATATCTGCCTTCCATATGGCCCAAAAGCAATATGTTGATGTGTAATTAATGTGTTAAGAAAATGAGGAGATGTGAAGATAGCCAGGGCCTTCAGCCAGGGCCCCTCACACACAGAGTGACGGGTGAGGACAGACATGCCAAAGCTCACGGGATATTAAGACCTGACCTGCTCGTTCCACCAGGGGCCAGGCGCCTGGCCTGTCACAGGTCTTCAGTCAGTCACTGGCCTGATCAGGGCTTTACAAGCTGAGTCAGGTGCCATGAACCAAGCCAAGCCTGGATGTCCAGCATCTCTGATGAGTGATCTGGTTTGATTATTCCAGAGATGCAGTAAATAAATCATCAGACCCTGGGTCTGTTCATTATTAAGCTTTGTAGGCCTCTCTATGTAGGATGAAACATTAGCAATGTGTTCTGTTTACATGGGCAAGCTGAATTTATATTTTATATGGTTGAAATAAATGCATGTGCAAACATATTCAAATGGTTTCAGTGCACTTTGAAAATGACTTGAAAAAGGAGAGCTGTTTCAAGTTTGAAAGATAAATCCCTGTCATAGAACTGAGGCAGGCAGATCAATATCATTCTTTGATCAAAAGGGGATTTGCATTTGAAAGTAATAGATTAAACAGATGTTTTATTTTCCATGAGATATGCTGCACCTTTATCCTGCGGAACCACAGGGGCCTGTGGGGGGGAGGGGCTCTCCTGACCACATTAGAGACAAAGGCTTTACATTTAAGAGTCCAAAGTTGTCTGAGTTGGTGTTTTCAGTTTCGACAGTGATGTTTTTTCCCTGCTTTTGTTAATATTCTATCGCTCTTGGTCCTTTTTTGTTTACCCCAGGTGGGCTTGGACATTAAATGACTGGGACGGTGGCAGCTTGGAATGCCCCTGGGCATTTTACAGGTGTCATGTTGTCAAAGGGCTTGGGAGTCGGGAGTGGGAGGGGGAGTGAGAGGGGCGGGTGGCGTTTATGGGAGTTTTTTTCAAGTACAAACCAAATGAGAAAAAAGCCGCTGTCCTTTTTGTAACGCGGAGATTGGCTGAATTCATTATGGTTATTTTCTCTTTCTCCTCATATTTTTGGGGAATGGGTTGGAGGGGAGGTTGGGGTTGGAGGGGAGGTTGGGGTTGGATAATGGGTTGGGGGTTGGAGGGAGGTTGGGGAATGGGTTGGAGTTGGAGGGGAGGTTGGGGTTGGGGAATGGGTTGGGGTTGGAGGGGAGGTGGGGGAATGGTTGGGGTTGGGGAATGGGTTGGGGTTGGATGGGGAGGTGGGGTGGAGAATGGGTGGGGTTGGAGTGGAGGTTGGGGTTGGGGAAGGGTTGGGGTTGGAGAATGGGTTGGGGTTGGAGGGGAGGTTGGGGGGGGTTGGGGTTGGGGAATGGGGGTTGGGGTGTGGAGGGGGAGGTGGGGTTGGGTTGGAGGGGAGGGTTGGGGTGGGGTAGGGTTGGGTGGGGGGATGGGTTGGGGGGAGGTTGGGGTTGGGGAATGAGTTGGGGTTGGAGGGGGAGGGGTTGGGGTTGGGGTTGCGGGTTGGGGATTGGGTTGGGGGTTGTAGGGGAGGGTTGGGGGTTGGGGATGGGGTTGGGGTTGGGGAATGGGTTGGGGTTGGAGGGGGGTGGTGGGTTGGAGTTGGGGTTGGGGTTGGAGGGGAGGTTGGGGTTGGGGAAGGGTTGGGGTTGGAGGGGGGATTGGGGAATGTGTGGGGTTGGAGGGGAGGTTGGAGTTGGGGTTGGAGGGTGGGTGGGGAATGGGTTGGGGTTGGAGGGGAGGTTGGGGTTGGTTGGGGTTGGGGAATGGGTTGGAGGGGAGGTTGGGGTTGGGGAATGGGTTGGAGGGGAGGTTGGGGTTGGGGATTGGGTTGGGGTTAGATAGGAGGTTGGGGTTGGGGTTGGGGTTGGGGATTGGGTTGGGGTTAGAGAGGAGTTTGGGGTTGGGGAATGGGTTGGGGTTGGAGGGAGGTTGGGGTTGGGGAATGGGTTGGAGGGGAGGTTGGGGTTGGGGATTGGGTTGGGGTTAGAGAGGAGGTTGGGGTTGGGGATTGGGTTGGGGTTAGAGAGGAGGTTGGGGTTGGGGTTGGGGATTGGGTTGGGGTTAGAGAGGATGTTGGGGTTGGGGTTGGGGATTGGGATTGGGTTGGGGTTAGAGAGGAGGTTGGGGTTGGGGAATGGGTTGGGGTTGGAGGGGAACATCAATTACAGTCAGGGTCCACATTTGTCATGTATTTTATTATTTCC